GGCTCCATCCCCGCCTCTTTGACCTGTCTGTCTCCTCTCCACCTAGCTTCTCCTCTATCCATCTTCTATCTGCCTCCCCCTCTCTCCCTATTTATTTCAGAACCCCCTTCCCCTCCCCCATTTCTGAAGAAGGGTCTAGGCCCGAAACGTCAGCCTTCCTGCTCCTCTGATGCTGCTTGGCCTGCTGTGTTCATCCAGCTCTACACCTTGTTATCTCAGTTGTACCTCTGTAGAGTGAGGTAGAAATGCAGCAAAATAGAAAAAGAGAGCAAAAGGATCCTCTGTGACTTGATCTTTCTTTTAGCTCACTTTTGTCTTTCTTAGTTCTCACCTTTTAGACTTGTAACAGTTAGGTGACAATTATCTTCCACAGATGAGTGAGCCAAAAAAGTAGAAAAGAGCATTTGCCCTGTCTGAATGAAGAAATAGTTGAGGCCATTGATTTTAATTAATGATTGTAAATTTGTAAACACTGACTGGACTAATCCACGTCCACCCCAGTCAATCATGTAGTGATTGTAATGAGGTCAGCCAGGAGGACATCATAGAATGTGAGCTCCCTGATTGGGGCTGTTAATCTCGTCCAATCAGGAAGGTCTGGCTGTCAGATAAAAAGAGGAGTGTCAGACACTCTGTTCACCCTGTGGGAGCTGGATCACTGTCAAAGACTTGCCATGTGTAAATAAAGGGTGACTTGGTGATGGGATACCGACCTCAGTGGAGTTATTTCAGATCAATGCAAAAGCATTGCTTCCAAAATCGTGAGTCATCTCCTGCTGTTTTGACTGAAGATTTCATTGCTTACCCAGATCCTCTTCTTCATTAGTTTCCAACACCACCACTTCCGCCTCTTCCTCTTTTGACAAGCCTTCATCTTTGATCTAAATACCCAAAATAAAACAGCTTCAACTGGCTGCCTTTTAATACTCATAAGCTTTTTATTACTGGATGACAACCTTTGGCTCACATTAATCAGCATCATCACGGAAATGGATTCTGTGCAGATTAGTGAGCAGAAGCTGGAATACAAGAAAACAGGGGCTGAATTTAAGGAAGAACCATAACAGGGCACTGAGCTATGAATTCAATCTTGCTGATTGTGATATATATTGGCATGAGGGAAAAAACTTTGAGGTGACTGAGGTTAGATTCCAACTGAGCAGGAAGTTGAGGGATATGGACTTACAATGAAGAAGAAAAGGAAAGAAAAATGGTCAGATTGGGGTTTGATCAACAAATCTATTGAACTGCTGAATGGTGATGATGGCTACTCGCACCTTTAATTTGTTTATATCCGTAGCGTCAAACTTGCTGAGCCAGGAAATTGCATTTGTTTCATAAATACGTACAATTGTGCACATGTTCTATCTCTTCTTTGGATATAAAATGAATGCAAAATACACGGATTCCAATCTGGAGAATTTCTACTCCATCTTGAATTAATTTGGTGAGCTATATAAAGAAGTTTAAAAGGTAGAAAACAAAGACAAATACAAATATCTGGCAGTTGTCTTTTTTTTAAACCTGCTCTGGTTTAGTAAATATTTACAAAGCAGCAAGTCCCAGGTTGAGTCCATGAAAAATTAGCCTAAACCAAGATAGAGAGGTTATAGGGAGCCACAGTGCTCCAGGGAAAAAAGTAAAATCATGTAGTATCCAGTGACGCCCACTTCATTCCAACAAAGAGCCCTGCCTTTCAAAACAGGACAAAGACTCCTGCAAAAACTGAATCAAAGGAACATGATAAAGAGTAGCACAAATAGGTTGTTCAGCCTCTCAGATCTGCAACAACATTTAATAAGGGATGATCTGAATGTGTCCTTGAGAACCCATTTACCTGCCTAACACTTTGTAATGCTTTAGTTGCAATGCACTGTGCAATTGAAACACTTGCTCACCCTCACACTGGGAACTTACTACTTAAGTAGGATGCAGAATCATCTTTGAAACCCACAAAGCTCTAACTCACCGTGAATCAATGGAATCAAGTAAGTAAGCAAATGAAACATCACAACTGTAAATACTGCATCTCTTTATTTTATGTTTTTTAAAGCTGTGGACTGAAATGAGAAGGAAGCCAGGCATTCACAAGAATTGCTGCATGTTTTGAAACTTAGCAATTTATAACTATTGTGAGCCCAATTTGTGCCACTGTGGCTTGTAGCAATGTGTAGATGAACTGGTGTCAAGGTTTGTTTATAAGTGAAGCTGATGAGTTGTTGACTAGTGGTCATTTCTCAATGACGAAGTTCCTCTGCTTGCCAACAACTATGTCCTGAAGAAGGGTTACAAGATTTGAAACATTAACTCTGTTTTCTCTCCACCGATGCCATCAGAATTGATGAGTTTCTCCAGCATTTTAAGTTTTTGTTTGTTTCAGATCTCCCAGCATCCACAGTTCTTTGTTTTATGATAACTATGTGATTATTTATCATGTAGCTAACCAGCTTGGTCTGTGAACGAGATACCAAGAAACATGTCAAACCAGAAAAGAAACCAACAGATTTGCATCAGCCAGAAAAAAACCCTGTCACTCAGTTTGCTACAGTAAGTCACTTTAAACCTGAAGAAAAACAGCTTATATTTCCTTCAGTATACGCTGCAAAGTTGAGGCTTTGAATCAGAGAAGTCAGACATCCTTTATAAGTGAACCAGCCATTCAGTGTCTCCTGTAAACCAGTGGAAGCACTCAGAAAAATAAAGGCTGAGGAGAAACATTCAGGTCAGTGAGAAACAAACAAAAAGATCTTGTGAACAAAGGCTATGGCACTGTTTTTCCTGTGTGTGTGTGTGTGTGTGTGTGTGTGAGAGAGAGGACTTTATAATTTGTTACTTAATTACTTGATATTTAATTATTCAATTAGCTGGAAACTAATTACTCATCTGACAAAATAGCAACTTCTTGTTAAGTACAGAAACCTGGTCTGTGTTTTTGATCAACCGTCTGTGTCCGAAAATCAGAAAGTTTGGGGATGTAGCTTATTTCTTTTCAAAGTTTTTAACTTATAAGATGATGCTGGAGCTTTGTGTGCATGTTGCCACAGTGAAACAATGACACAACTCTGAAACTGCACACTGCTACTCCTCAATGTGCTGACCTGGTTTTAGAGTAGAGATTGCAAAATGGACTTGAGGGGATGAAGTTTTTGCTATCTCTTTGAAATGGTTAATGTATTTATGGTCGGGCAGCAAGGACACAAGGAAGGTGTGCAGAGTTGGATTGGAGGAACATCACCTGAGTCAGCAATTCATACACTCCAGCCTTTGGTTGCCAGCCCGTGCAAAACTTTTCACTGTATTTTTCATGTAAAAGTACTATTCTATTCTATTCTATAACACTAATACAGGTTTGTTTAGTTGATCAGCGATTCCTGTTGGGTAAACTGTGCTGGACCATTTTTATTGTTAAAAAGAGAGACAATTTGCCATATGTTTTTGTCTTTTACTCATCAGGGTAAAAAAAAAATACAAGAATACCAAGTTTAAATTCTTGTGTTGGTTTGAAATTTGGCATTCTTGCATTTGTCCTGATGAGCTCAAGAGGAAAAGCGTCAGCCGCGTATCTCCCTTTTCAGCAAGCTTCAACTACTTTCTTGTTACTTTGTCAATAATAATCTCACCACTTTGCGGTCAGCTCCCTCCTTTAGCACCTTCTTCTCAGTGCGTAGTTGATCATGGATGCTCTTCTGTAGTAATGGGGCATTTGCTCCTCTCACAACAGCAACTAACTGTCCTCCCTGCAAACACAGGCAGAGAGATGCTCAAATTAAACATGAATTATTATAAATAAAAAACAGTCTCCACTGTGAATCAAATGTCTAGATATTTAGTAGACACGGCCATTTCAAACAGACATTCAACATATCAAATTTAACAGAATTGGGCAACCTATCTAATAAAAGTAAAACCTGGTGAAATATTAATGCAAGAACAAAAATTGGATGCTGCAAAATACGAAATAAAGACAAACGGAAAACGCTGAAAGTACATGGCAGGTCTGGCTGCATCTGTGGAAAGACCAAAGGAGCTAAAGCACTGGATTTTACTGGTGAGTAGTCAGCAAGAGGAGAGGCTGGGCAATCATGGGGACCTTGGTCAGATCTGCTCCATGATGCAATCCCACTGTTGGGCATTTTACCAACAGAGGAATCTGAAAGTGGACAATATGGCAGCCTGAAGGAGAACAACAGTTGATTCATGTATTTGAAGGGCCTATTAGGGACAATTTATCATGTTGCCAATGGTGCTAGGCAACTGATGGGATGTAGAAAGGCCACTGGCAGCCTCCCAGACTTCAGGGTAATTTCAAACTCTTGGACTTCAAGGTTAACTTCCGTACCTGTGCCGCCATCACTACCTATACCACCACCACCATCACCACCCCTGCAGATACTAAGGACGCAGTAAGTATAGCCATCTGGGCAAGATACCAGAAGGTTGGCAGCATCAACAGAGCTTATCACTTAAGAGTTAGCAGTGAAGGGGCAGGGCAAGGGATAGGGGAAGAGGGCGTAGTGTAATTTAAACTAGAAAGGATGTGATTTGTCTTTTGCCACTTAAATCCATTTAATGGGGTTACTCACTCCATAGAAAAGGAAGGTAGGTTCACATCTCCCTCTGTATTTTTGTAGTGAGTCAATGATATCTGCTTCAGCCTAAAACAAAACGTAGAAACAGCAATAAATTAAATGAATCAGAAAGCACATTTGTTCAATTTCCAAACATAATTTCTTCAGGCTTTCCTTCTGATTATAATTGACCCTTGTTCTGCAACACACTGGAGCAAAAGGACTGTTGGCTATTATCAATCTTCTACAATTTGCTGGGCTAGAAGATGGTCATAATAATTGCTATCACTTCAGTAATCCTTCCTCATCAGGTTAAAAGATCAAGAGTTAATAAACTGCAGCTTAATATCCAGCCTTGTTTTAAAATATCACCATGGAAAATGAGCAGGGTGCATCATACCAAGCTGCTGTACAACTCTCTCGGCCAAGGTCAAAAATCACATGACACCAGGTTATTGTCCAACAAGTTTATCTGAAAACACAAATGTTTGAAGTCTTATTCCTTCTGCAGGTATTAATGAGAGAGGTAGTAGCAGGCACATGATTTATAAGTAAAAGATCAAACGGTCACACCGCTGCTGAGGATGTACTAAACAAATCTCAGATGCTGTTAAATATTTAATCACTTAGAAGGTTTCAATTGATTAATATGTACATGTATATGTAAATCCCCAAATTTCTTTGAAGTCACTG